TGGATGGATGGATGGGCAGATGGATAGACAGATAGATAAAACAACCTTGAGGACTAAAGCTCCACAGTATCCCACATTCTATTTTGGCACCCCTGATTTTCCTCCCAATTGCTGAAAATTATGACTTCTCCGAAAACTGAGCTCCAACTTAGATTACACTTTAAAAAAAAAAAAAAAACTTGAACCTTTTCCCTGAACTTTGAAAATTGGGGGTGGGGGTTGTCCCCCCACAGGGGAATCCAAAACTCCTCCCTCTGTTGGTGCAGATCCTTGCTTTTCCTGAATTCAGTCCATGGTATTCTTCTTTCTTTTTTTTAAGAGGTGTAAAGTGTAGCCTTTGGCCGTAGGAAGGTGGCTTCATCCCAATTAGGGGGGTCAATGTAAATAAACAACAATATCAGGGAGACTTCACAGCAGCAAAGCCAATCCAAGGGCCATCACTGCTCATTTGAGTGGGATTTCCTGTTTTCCAATAAGTCGCTTGAATTCAGTTCCATCCTACAGGATGCTTGTCACGGCTGCTACCCCTGAACTCTGCTAGAACTGGCTCAGCCGCGTGGTTTGTTGGCTTCGGTGAATCAGTGATTGAATACCAGTTAGACTTAGGCAGGATCATGTGGCTGAAATATAGGGGGGGAAAGGGGTTAAAAGTGTCTTTTTATATGGAATATTATGGGTAATGTCAAAAGAACTGTGCTCAGGAAAAGGCTGTGTAGGCAGAAGAGGGGAACATATTAGTAACGTGCTGTTTCATTAACAGAACCTGCTCACTTATTCATGGTTTGAACGTTCACTTATACAAATATATTTTTCCCTTTTGCTGCCCTAACAAGAATATCCATCTGTGATAGGAAGTGATTCAGGCTTGGATTTATTGCTCTTTCAAGCAGGAAATGGAGCAAAGCTGTAGATAACGTGAATGCAATTATTGTTTTTAAAACATCTCTGCACTGTCCTGCTGTTAAATGAAACAATGGCACAGTTTTAAAATGTATACGTCTATAAATGTTTTTGACCTGGGAGCAGCTGGGTGTGCTCTTAAATTAAACCATAAAGTATTTTTGAATGAATAATAACATGACACCCTGTCTGAAGTGTGTTGTTTTAAAAATGGAAATTATCCTTAACAGTCTTTGTTGTTTTCTGGCACAATTATCTTGAACCTGGTTCTTCGGAGTTCAGAGGAAGGTTGAAAACCAAGTCCATTAACTGTTTGCCTTGATTATGTGTCCCTGTGTGTTTTTGGCTGTGTATGTTTGTGTAGGGAAGAGACTAGTTTGTGTTGTTGTCAAATCCACATGTGGCTACCTTGAGGTTGCATACACAAAATCCTTAACTTACAACCTCAATGGAGCCCAACGTTTCTGTGACAGTTGATAAGTGAGGCATACCCCATTTTACGACCTTTTTTGCCGCAGTTGTTAAGCGGATCGCTGTGGTTGTTAAGTGAACCATGTGGTTGTTAATTGAATCTGGCTCCCCCCACCCACCCATTGACTTTGCCTGTCGGAAGTCAGCTGGGAAGGTCACACGTGGTGATCGGATGACCCCGGGGATGAAGCAGCCATCATAAGTACATGCCAGTTGCCAAGCATCTGAATTTTGATCACGTGACCATGGGGATGCTGCAGCGATCGCAAGTGTGAAAACTGGCCATAAGTCATTTTTCTCTGTACCATCGTCACTTCGAACAGTCACTAAAAGAATGGCTGTAGGTCGAGGATTACCTGTATTTTGAGCCAGATACCTTCAGCTGTATGTCTTTTTCTTTCCTCTTACCTATCTGTTTTTCCTCTGGACCCAGGTGTCTCCCACTCCACCATCCAGAAGACAAAAAAGTCCTTTATTCTTCTAGTCATTCTTGAAGTTAATATGTGTATTTATTAAATTTGTATGGTGGTGGCCATCCTGCAACTTGAAACAGTTTATAAGATAAAAATGACAACATAAAACAGATAGATAGATAGATAGATAGATAGATAGATAGATAGATAGATAGATAGATAGATAGATAGAT